GGAGGAGCTTGTAATAAGCTCCAGCCCTGAGTTCTACGAACTTGAGAAAGTTCTCGTTGGGCGGTAGAACGACGTACTTGAATAGGATGATCGGAATTTGGGTCAGCTTTTGTACATAAAATCTTCCTTTTAAAACTGACGGGCGATGCCCTTGAAACGGTCCCCAATAGTTCCGCATGATATCCTATCGCTACTGTACATGTCAACCTTTATCTGCACGGCTTCTATGTCCACTTTGGTGGTCGTTTAGAATTTATTGGTTTCGTTATTTACTTACGTCTTACAGTTGTTTGCTTGCAACAATACAGAATGATTCAGAATAGACGTATTTTCTTTGAAAGGGTTAGTGGGCTTACGGAGAACATGAAAAAATGTTTTTAAAACAATTTCAGTTTATTGGTAGGCTTTTGACGACAATAGGTCAACCTAGTCCAATAACAATTTGGAAAACTATCTCTGTAGTTAAATATTACAATAAAATATTGCAAATTTTACTTAACGTTTTGCAACATAAAAAATAGTAGGCAGAAGAAAATATTCGTTTGCCAGCTGGAAGTGTTACATATGAAACCTTGTATTATACTTGTGTATCAATGCGTTGAAATAGCCAGAAGGATTTTTTAGAATTAAACATGATAATTTCGTTTCATGTGTATCTTAATTTTCTTTACTCATGTGTTAATAGTGACTGCATTTAAAATTTATCTTCAGTTCTTCCTATGCTTCTATCTTCAGGTTAACAATATCAATAGCAAAATTATCGATCGCCCAGCAATCTTATAACTACGAAACGGCTTTATGGTGAATAAAATTTAAAGATCGGCCTGATAATACGTTTAATTCAGAAGAATCATGATTCAATGCGTGCATTTCATTCGTGCGTACTATAAACTATTACATAGTATACAATGGCAATCCGAAGGGTCCATTTATATCAAACGAATGGCCATGTAAATATGGGGACTGGAAACAACTCAACTCTTACCTACAACGGGGACAAACAAATGACAAAAATATATAGAATCTGATATTGAGTTATTTGCATGAAGTAATTATAATCGAATTATATTTATCATCATAGTGAAAAACCAAAAAATCACTTTGTAAAACTGAACACCTACATAGATGAAAGCATATAAACTAATAAAGTAAATACGTTTATAAATTTAGATTTGAATGCTTTAGTAGTGAGTTATATTCTAAAGTGAGTTATAGCATAGTAACCTATGCATTGCATTGTTTTCGATTTACAATATTGTAACGGAAATGGCCTGGGGTACTAACGTTTGGAAGGGGGGATCGAAATTCATGGTATTTCAGTAAATGGGAGCCCCATTTCGGCCCCATTTACTGTCAAATATGACACTGACAAGCGGGAAATTTCGCACCTGGGCTGGAGATTTCGAGAACCTTCTGGGTTACCTGAAGGAAACTATATAAGCGACGACGAGAACCAGACATTGATTCAAAATTTGCGTCATTCCTTTTAAGGGGTGATAGAGGCTCCCTTGGGGAGTACCAGAAAAATATTGAAATTTTTTTTTTTTTATTTCTAGAAGAAGAATTTGTTCAGTTGAAGATCAAATTTCAACTTTGTTATTAAGCATTAATTTAAAAAAAATTCCACTTTGGATTGGCAGCCTATTGAAATACTTAAGCATTCAAAAAGAAAAATTACGATCTTTGCTTCAAATTATATCAAAAAAGTTCTCTTCTACAATTTTTTGATGAAAAGGCACAGCGGCAATGATGTTTTTTGTCATTAACCGATAGTTACAGGTGGATAGCCCTTGTCAATAATAACAAAAATTTGTCAAACTGTGACTTACTTTGAATTTCCTTTCACGTATTTGCTGGTATGCTATTAGTTCAAGGGAAATGCTACAGTAACATAGCAGAAGCTGAAAGAACTCACGCCAACAAAGGACGAGGAGAGTGATTCCGGGAAGATAGTGGACGACAATTGATGTTCGGGTTTCAGGCACAGAGGAACAAGTATTGGACATAATCGAATCAGGGCCTTCCAGGGGTACTCAGGGCCCAATAACTGACACTTTCCCATAAACCAAGTAAATACCGAGGAAAGGCGTTTGTACGATACACACAGCACAAGGAGATACAAATGGAGCACGAGTTAATTAACTGAATACGAGAAGCTGCTTGATAAGAGTGGATAATAAGGAGATTACACAGGCACTAGCTTGTTTGGAGTTAATCATTCAAATGTTTGGTGTTGTATGGATTATTTATGTAAACACAAAACCCCCCAGAATTCGAGGTTATGAGAACAGGTTGACATTTCGTCAACAAATCTTGTTGAATTTACCATTTATCCTTGTCTATCTTACTGTCAGTCTGTATAATTCCATGATTACCGGAGTTTTAAATAATTACGAAGCAACAGGTATTTGCGCAATGTTAATTAGGCAGATTACCTTGAAAACATTGCTGCCGTATTTCTGATATAGTTTTTTGGAAATTTGTCAGTTTTTAGTAACAATTAATTTATTTTACTATTTTTTCTGTACTCCTATAACATTGCCAGACAACACCCCCAGAGGAATGACGCCAATTTTGAATCACCCTGTATATAATGTTTTCTCTTACTATAAACGTTTTGTATTTAAAATTTAGGTTTTCAAGAAAAAATTGCAGAAATCAGTTTTTCCTGTGCAATGCCATTGCCATTTAAATTTAAATAAAATTTAAATTTAAATTTAAATATAACTAATTTCTTAACTGAGCAGGTGCGGCATGAAGCGATTTTTTCTGGAACTTGTGCCCTTTCATTGCACAGCCGCTTAATAATTAATGATTATCTGAATAATGTTATACCGGGTGATTCAAAATTGGCGTCATTCCTCTGGACGTGTTGTCTGGCGGTGTTTTAGGAGAACAGGAAAAATAGTAAAAAAAATTAGAGAAAATTTGCAAACAACTATATTAGAAAAACGGCAACAATGTATTTCAAGGTAATTTGCCTAATTCATATTACGTAAGTACCTTTTGCTTCGCAATTATTTAAAACTCCGGTAATTATGGATAAATAGAGAAAGTGACAATAAGATAGACAAGGGTAAACGGTAAATTTCGCCTATTCGCAAATTCAATCTTGATGTACATTTGAAAGGAGCTTCAAAGTAAGTCACAGTTTGACAAATTAATGTTATTATTAACAAGGGCTATCCACCTGTAACTACTGTTAATAACAAGAAACATCTTTGTCGCTTTGACTTTTCATCAAAACATTGTAGAAGAGAACTTTTCTAATATCAATAATTTTCGTAATTTGAAGCAAAGATCTTATTTTTTTCTTTTTGAATTCTTAAGTATTTCAATATGCTTCCAATTAAACATGGAACACTTTCAAAATAATGCTTAATAACAAAGTTGAAATTAGATTTTCTACTGTTAATATTTTTAGAAATTCTCAAAAAAAAACAGTTGCCACATTAAGTTAAAAATAAAATAAAAAATTAGTTTCCGTTTTGTGCATTTGAAAGACATTGTATTACTGATTGTGTAGCCAATTAGTTAAATTCGCTATGAAAATCTAGTTGGACACATTAAATTATCGAAAATGGCATCTCAAAGTTTACTGATCTTCAAAATATAAAAAAAGATATAATAGTAAATTTACACACTAAATTAATATAGGAATTTCAATAGCCAGTAAGATCAAATTGTAAAATACTATTTACAAGATTTTCACATTTTGGTCAAAAAGTTTAAAACAGAAAAAGTATACGTCCTATTACAAAATTACAAATTTGCTACGTTCCACATTTTCGTCATAACTTGAGTAAATTATGAAAAACGATAAATAAAACACTCAAAATAAAGCTGCGTATCAAGAACGTGCTGAACATCAGACGAGATGTTCGTTAGTCATGCAGTTATTAAATTTTCATATATAAACGAGAATCTTTACACAAGATCGAATCTGCTATTATTATTAAATTGTTTAAGTACATATAACATGTTGGAAATATTAGGAATTGCTGAAAAAGTTAAATAAAATCAAAACTGTTGAATTTTTAACAAACATTAGTCGGTACCTAGGTAATTTATTTATCGTTTTTAAGTTCTCTTACTAAATATATGAACATTTTTTCGAATTAGTTTCAACACCCTATAGAGATTCGACCAAATTTCTGCCCCTTAACAAACACACATTTTAGCTAACTTGAATTATAAAACAGAACACATCTTTCAATATAAAGCTTTGGCACGGGAGCCATTAACATCTAGAACTCAGCTGAAAAACTCAGCTGAAAAGGGTTATTTCTTCAGTAGTGTAGCTACCATTCAAGTACATCTACTAAAGCATTTTATAGTGAACAATAAAGCGGTACTTAGTACAGGCATTTATTTATTGCAGTCGTTTTGTTATCTCTTAGTTTAATTTGATTACTATACTGTTATTATCGTCATTACTGAAAAAGCTTAAATATCTAGAGGCAGTGGTTTTTACTGTTAGTGAGTTTTTTTATTATTATTTGAAAATCGTACTTAAAATAGTCTAATGGACATAGCAATAATTTATTGACTATGATAATGCGCGATTATAATATGTGGATGTTTTCATTTTGCACAATTTACGGTAGAGAGTCAAGCAATCCATAATATCTATCACAAAACATTTTCTATGTCAAATTGCGTTACTAAAATTATAATATTTATTTTCATTGAAGCGGAAATGATAATACAGTTTACCAAATTGGGTTAATGTTGTCTTACAACAACATTTTATCGTTTTCCATGTTCAATATTATGTTGAATTTCACATCGCTAGTCGGTAACGAGATTGCTTTATTACTATGATTACATTCTTCTGCTGAAAATTTTTCGTTTATGCTTTTACTCAATCGTTCAAGCCAGATATTTTTGAGAAGCGACTTATCCGGGTTGCATTTATTGCCCATATTAAAGCCAATTTTGCGAAATAAACATGATGCAAATGTTGCTTGATATCGTTTAATGTCAATCATGTTACTTACTGCACATTTTGATGTATCCAAAATTTCGACTTCTGTAGTTACACTGTCAAACGTGACATTGTGACGATAGAGAAGATCTGAAAAAGAAATAGCACACATTAAAACGTTAATTTGAAACAAGTGCTGAAGAACTTAAATCACACACGGCAAAGTAAGCCACTGAAGTCAATTAGCGAAGTACATTAAAGCTAAATAGGCATATGAGAATGTGTTTGATCAATAGGTAATGTTGCTTCCAGTTATGGGTAACATGTTTGCAAACGGTATTTACCTGGTTTAATATTCAGATATTTGTAACTTTGATTGGGGTAAATACTGTACAATTACAGCTGCGTAATTAACGGAAGCAATAATACAATGTTTTGTTTAATCTTTAATTATTTGTAGTGTCTAATTTAACAATACATCATTAATTACATAAATATTGCGACGTTCAAAGGCTTAGCACAACAATACATAGTACAGGAGCAGAATTGCTAAATGCATTTTCAAGTTCACAAAACCAAAAAAGGCTATAGTCCTTTAAAACTTTTTATATTAAAACGTTGGTTAGAACAAAAAAATGTGTATATGAAAATACTAGAAATAGATAATTACAAATTAATTAAAAGTAATTTTTAGGGCATTCGCAAATTTCCAGGCCGCTTCCATGCTCTTCATCTTCATCATTACAGTTTGCCACCGTTTTTTCCAAGCAGTTTAGCCATCCACTTCAGCTCCGAGTTTGTAACATCCGACACCAAATAACATTAAAACATCCGTTTTTCCGTTTTATTTAATGTTCAAGTCGTACTTCAGAAAGTTGAAGTTGACATCAACGAAGTTTGAATATTTTTTGCTAGATGATCTGTTCAATATAGAAGTTTAGATTTTACCACCACTCCTAAGGCATTTTCTCTTTTGATGACTATTCTTTCACATGAACTGATTCGGATGCTTTTTTTCCTACAAATTCAAGCCTTTATATACAGGGTGATTCAAAATTGGTGTCATTCCACTGGCGGTGTTGTCGGGGGGTGTCTTGGGAGTACACGAAAAATAGTAAAATGCAAATTAATTGCTATTAAAAACTCAGATGTTTGCAAAAAACTAAATTAGAAGGATGGCAGCAATGTTTTTCAAGGTAATCTGCCTAATTAACATTTCGTCAATACTTGTTGCTTCGTAATTATAAAAACTCTGGTAACCATGGAAAAATACAGAAAGTGACAATAAAATAGATAAGGTAAATTCAACAGGATATGGTAAATGTGGACTACTTTTTCGAAATATCAAAATTGTCAACAAGAAATTGTTCTTAATTGTGATCATAACCTCGAACTGATGTGTTTACAAATAAACATATCTGTCTAAAAATAAACTGTCTTTAACTCCAAACAAGTTGGCGCCTGTGTAATCCCCTTATTGTGCACTCTTCTCGAGCCACTTCTTGCATTCGGTTAATTAACTCCTGCTCAATTTGTGCCGGTGTTGAGTATTCCACTGGTTCTGAGTAACCCTGAAATGTTCTGCTGCAATTATCGCCAATACCTCTTCCTCGGTGTCTGGAGCCCAAATATTTATTGTCGTCTACTATCTTCCTGGACCCAATCTTCCACTGTCTCTAGCTCTTTGCCGTTCAAAATTTGGGAAAAATAACCTATAACCCTATAACCCCTTAAATGGCACCAATTTTTAATTACTCTGTACCTTTTAACCCATCGCTAATCAGGTCCGTGTCTTTGTGTTTTCCTCTGCTACTTTATAAAGTTCCCAACATTATTTAGGCATTTTTATGACAGCGTGTGGCCTTAATTTATTTTCCAATTTCTCAAAAAATCAATCTGCTGGATGATAATAGGCCTCCCGCACATTTCAAATTTTTCTATCCATTTATATAAATTTCTGTCCATATTCAGTATCCAATATTCAGTCAATTTCTACTTTATCAGTCGTTTCTGGGGCAAATGTGTAGAACCGTAGCACTATAATTTAGACAGACACTAAAGGATGACAAAACATTGTTTTCTAAATTAATGTCTAGGGGGCGCGGGAATCTTGGTTTTAGTACACGGATCACGTGACGAAGGTCACTATAACACCTCCCAATTCTCACGGTATAGTCATGGGGGGCTCACTGATATTGCCATGCGCGTACCCATGTTTTTGGGAGCGCAGCCCCGCCATCTGTGACTGGTTTGTTCAAGATAAATTGAATGAAGAGACAATTTTACAGTTTCCACTTAAGGGCATAAAAGAGACAATCTTATAGTTTCCACTTAAGGGCATAGATGATATGACATGACAGCGTATTTATAAAACGTGGAGATTTGCTATTTTTAGGTTACAACATAGATAAACACGAGTATAGATTATCCGTAAATCCCTACCGTCTATTATAGATGTTATTAAGAAATGAGCATTAATATTGAACGTATACAGCAGTATGCCTCAGTGCGATGATACATCTTCAAGGCGGTAAGCTTCATCATTACTACAATTATATACATGTGGATTGTTGGACGAAACCCACTGGTGCTGCTTTTGTACATTTCTCGGATTCAAGTTAGAACGAAATAAAAGCAGAATACTTTCAGGTGTCTATTTGCTCAGAATCCCAAGTTGAGAATGGTTTGGATCAGGCGGATTGGGTGTGACAAGTATTTTATAACTTTACACTTATTATGATTATACTTATTATCGTAGATTTTAAACTTATCAACCCGATATCCTGGTACACAATTGTATGTCGGTATATATTATTGTGATATTCATCCAACTGCCTTAATATATATCTGCATTGATAATTGCACTTAATTAATTTATTTGTTGTTACATTGAAATATTTGTTTATTTTCTTAATCCTTGATTCATAACATGCCTATTTTGCTTCTTGATCAAAGGTTTGTGGTTTGTATAATACGCTTTGCACAAATTAATGGTACTTGGCGTTTCGCCTATTTATTTACTGCAATAAAAAATTGAAAATGCTTATGAAGTTTCTATTATCAACATATCCAAACACCAATCACTAATGTCTAAATATGTATCTGCTATTGTCGGCAACCCATTATTTTCATTGGAATTAAGATATGTTTAATATTCAATTTGATATATTTGTTTATAAATCAGAAACAAGTCTTGCCTCTGTACAAATATATCAAACTAAATATTAAACATATCTTAATTCCAATGAAAGTAATGGGTTGCCGACAATAGCAAGGATGCAAACCCTGAACAGTAGTAGCAGAGACGCAAACCCCGCAAGAAGAACGTGGCGCAGTTGTGCCTGGGTCCATCACAGATGGCGGTAGGATAGACATTGTTTCCACATTGTGCATGAGAGTTGGTAATCTATACTCGTCTTTATCTATGGGTATAGTGCGCGTCAAGAGATGCAAGGCTGGGGGGAAGCCCAGTCAAAAGCGACTAACCTTGAGGCAACAGGCGCACCTCATTTTATCAGCCTTACCCACACATGCGGGGCTCTGTGTGAATGGACCGAGACCTTCCCTAGCTATTCGTGGGAATGATGGGGAGGAAAAACCCCCACAAAATACCGGCGGGACCTCCTCAGAAGAACTGTCGGGCTCCGCAGTTGGCAAAGTACCGAAGGGTGGTAAAAAACTCTCGGGGGCCGCCAGGCGGAAAAACGCGCACCCCAAAAAAGCTGCTATAACCGGGACGCAAAAGCGACACCGGTCGGATGGCAGCACACACAACAAGCCAGCACCTGGGCGGCTGTATGTGGAAACTTCCGTATAGGAAGGAACCACACACAAGTCGTGCAAGGTTGCGGTTTCCGTGATTAAGATGGCCATAGCGGCGGTCGGATATCCCGAGAAGACATTTTCTCCTCAGCAGGGAAAACTCATAAAGAGGCACCTGCTTGGGAAAATCGACGAGCTGGAGCCAGGGATGACTACCAGTTTAGGTCATGCGCACCCCGTTCAATATTATTCTGGAATTCATTTCCACAGGGATAATGAGGGAGTAAAATGCGAGGGCACCATAGGGCAGAAATGACCGCGGTGCAAGGCCAAACACCACCTCGGCGGTAGGAAAGGGTTTTAGTGGGTAAACAGCTTAGCTGGAGTCCCACACAACCCAGAGCGACAGACCACCAGATCTGGGAGTGTATAAAAGAGCATTTGCCAAACGTCACCGGAAAAAAAATTAATGTCTGTACTAATTGGCTTTTTTTTTACAGCTCGATCTTAAGAGTGTCGTAAGATACTGTCTATGTGATATATTGATTACTTTTCGATAAATAATGTGTGCTTTATTGTGAAATATGAGCAATGTTTATCAATCTGTAATAGAAGGCATGAGTGACATCAGTCTTAACAAATAAATTTAAGGCAAAATACCCAACAAAAAGATTTTCTGAAGATGAATGGGCATCAACGATATAGAATAAATATAAAACTACTTTTATATTGCACTACGCATCCCCGTGAGAATAGATAGCAAATAGCCAAAACTGTTATTAGTTTAAAAAAATAGTATAAAAAATATTTGTTGTTCCTTGATATTATTATAACGATATTTCAATCAAGAACAAGTATAATTGCAAATTCGCTTGAAACTATTTCTTTCAGAATGAGTTATGCTTTATGAATGAATGTATTGAATGGAACGATCGCAGGTTGCGTAGTGCTCGCAACTGTATTCGATGCATTTTTGCTCTAAATTGTTCGCATTATTTGTCATAGTTCTAATTACCGTTTATCAACCTGAATAATAATTAATGAATTTAATGCTTATGACAAATTTCTGGAATCTTTCCAACGGTTCTAGATTTGAGAGATGGTATAAATAACGACTAATTTTTACACATCGAGAAATCCAACCTCCATCCATATCATTGATATTTAATTTTCTTTTCAACAAATACAAATTTAATTTATTTTACATTTCAATAGTACGGTGCCTAATCATTATTCAAGCCACAATATCAACCATGCAAGATGTACACGTTAATTTATTTGCCATTTAATAAAAATTGAAGGAAATTTATTAAATCTTTCAATGTTTTACTAGAGTAACAACGTATACAGGGTGATTTAAAATTGGCGTCATTCCTTTTAAGGAGTAA